TACAATGATTCCACCTCATCTACACTTACATTTTTATACGTGCTTTCCATTTTTAAACCCTTAACTTATATGAGATTTGTGAGTGAGGGACCTTCTTCCCTTATTGAGGATGTTCATGTGGGATTTACAAAGGAGAGTCTTGTATTGGAACTGGAGAGTGAGGAAAGAAATTTCATCCTATGATGGTTGAATTTTCCTATAGAAATTTTAAATTAGGGTTAAATTCAATAGTAACTACATCAGTGGTTACTATAGACTGATGGACTGATCTAAAAATGTAATATTTAGATTTTATAGGGAAATGGGTTGCTTACTAGTAACCCTTTAAAATACAACTTGCTCATAAAATATGGGGTTCTAGAATTTCAGGCTTTAATCAGGGTCTTGATTATGCTTTTTAATCCCTAGTTTACTCATTTTGAAGTTTAGTCAAGGTGAAATTCTATACATTTCAGTAAAGTAAAGCATTTACTATTGTCAAATCTATTTTCATTTAATGGAAGTTAATTCATGTACTCAGGTTACAGATGACATTTTTATTTATGTATTTATGTGTATATATTTTTAATAATAAATATGCATAGACATATGTAATAAATATACATATATATGAGTTAGGTTATTATGACTATTTAACATTAACTAGAGAATCTTATTCTCAGTCCACATATGTATTTCATAATTCCGTATTTTAAAAGATTTTATAGTTTGAATAAAAAATATAATTTTGCAGAAGTAATATCACTTAATAACCACAGGTGCATTCCCACGTGTGTCATCTCCCACCTGTGCTTCCCAGTAGCCAACCTGGCTAGAAGCCATTTGTCAGGGGGCCTTGGGAATTGTTCCCTACAATACAGAAGCACAAAATGACTGGAGAAGGTGAGCACAAACGAGAAAATGCACAAGATATCACAGTATGAGTAAGGATCACTATTAATAATTCTGCATAACTAAAGTGAAAGGCATTCTGTGCAAGGCTGAGAGAGTCAAGGTCCAAAGGCAGTCAGTGACACTAGATGAAGTGACACCACTGTTTGTGAAGGACACTGTAACTGAGCTGGAGGTGAGTCAGAGTAGAAGATAAGAGATTTGCTAGGAGGTGAATGCAGTTGTGCGGGTGGAGAGTACTTTTAAAGGTAGAAATATGGCCTTTGCATCCCACATTACAGCAAGAGTTATTGGGATGTGCAGTAGAATCTCTTCTTGGATTTGGTGACTGGTGAGATCTGGAGGGAAAGAAAAAGTCTAGGATGCTGAGGTTCTGGCCATAGGGGGCAGTGCTGGGCTGCAACCAACCATTGCTTTCATATAGTTCTTCAGACCCATGAGTCCCTAGGATGGGTAAGTTTCTCAGACCCATTGGGCGAGTGTCCCAATCTTTACATTCTTGGTTTAGATGTCCCCTAAGGCACTGTTCTACAGTGCTGATTCCAGCTGATTCCAATGCTGATTCCTTCAGCATTTCAGATTTCAGTCTTTCTTCTAGTGTCACATTTTCTATAACTTACACAAAGATAAACAAAAACCTTATTGGTTGTTCATTTAACCTTGTATATGTTCTTGAGTCTTAAGTTCTTTTTTAAAAATTACCGGTCATAGTTGTTTTTGGAGAATTCTCATTGTGACTGAAAGGAAGTGTTCTATTCTAAAGTTCATATGCCCCCGAATCCAGCAAGTAGACAATGGATTTCACAATATTCCCTTCTGAAATTCTTTCTTGTAGTTCATAAATATCTCTGGCAGAACTCCCACAATTTACAAGACTTAACCACAAAACCACTGATTGAATTGCAACCCTTGTTAGTTAATAGAGGTCAAAGTATTAGTTCTAAATAATGCAACGTGGTATGTTACTCGGAAATTCCAGGAAAAGCTTTTTTTCCCTTTGATTTTCAGTTTCATTCCAAGGAGCATATAACAATCATGTTATTCAGCTGCATGGCAAGTCACTGGTCTTTTAAAAAACATGTAGCCCCAGTTCGAAACTCAGACTTTCTGATTGCATTTTACTGGCTTAGTATCCTAAAACTTAAATGTTTTAAGTAAATGCTTAGACTTCTTGGTGGTATAAAAATTTAAACATCTTTACAGTGGAAAAATTTGGTGGTATGTAATGATGAATTTTTGCCTTAGTACAGATATTGACAAAATAGGAAAACAGATTCAGTTTTACATCAAGGTAATTTAAATCATCTAAACATTAGAAGTATACAGGTCTCACTTACAAAGGTTCACAGTCTTGTTCTGAAGGCAGCCTTATCAATCTATTATAGGTTTTGTAAAGCAACTTGGTGAAATGCTTATAACTCACAGAATATGGGTGTCTCATTCATCTTTGCGGAATCAGGAAAGAATTTCCAAAGAAGGTGACACCTACAAACAGTCTCAAAGTATTGGACAACGCCTGTAGACATTTCTCAACTTGTTTTCACTGCTAGATTATAATGGGTCATCCTTCCACTATACTGTTTTTGCTTAATTGGAGGGTGACAAATTTGCCACGAACTTCCCATATTAACCCCAAGAGTTCATGTCCTGACAAATATCTCACCTCTGAGTTGATCAGGACAGCTGGTCAGCCTAATTTACCACCTCCTAACCATACTTATATTCCTGAATCTCCCTTTGATCGTGCCAGTTTCCCAGCTAGAAAGAGCCATCACCTACTCACTGTCTTGAATTCCTCATGGGCCTGCATAGATAATAGAAGCTCATGCACTGGTCACTTGGCTGATATATACACCTTGGCACCTCTTACTTTATCAGTTGCACTGATGCACAGATATCTGAAACGAATGCATTCAAGGTTCATGTGACAGTACTGAGTTTAGAACCTAAGCCTGACCCCATGTCTTCCAAAGGACATTTTCAGTCTACCCAACTTTAAATCAAGAACTTCCCTGCATCATCCATTGTGTCCTTAGGGTATACTAAATTCAGTTTTCTAAATAAGTGTTTATTTTTCATATAACTGGGTCAGCTATTTTATTTACTCATCTTTTCATTGCATTTTTTTATTGCAGTAATGTTGGTTTACAACACCGTATATGATTTAGGGGTACAGTGTTAAACCTCTCCAGATGTTATTTCATCTCACTGCACTCACCACAATTCCCATGGTGCCCTCTAGTTGTGGCCAAGTGCTAATAAGCTGTCTTCGTCTAGCCGGACTACAAGGGGATTATATTAGTTTGTCTGTATCCAGTGCAAGTTATAAGACCATTATTACTGCACAATATCCAGTCACTCAAGTGCCTGTGACTGGACTTCACTGCTTGCGTAACCACATCCCTCCCAGAGTAGGGGGTGGACAGGTGATGCTTACTGTGGACTTATTTTGCATTTGGTTATAGATTTCACATCCAGAGTGCTGGGATGAATCACGATTTTGCTTATATGATTAATTCAGATGCACCCACAACTCTTTAGGCCTCTAATTTTCCCATTAAAACATTAAACTGCAGAGGGCATGTAGTAACCCCGCCAGTATTCTGATTAATGGAATTGGTTGATAGGACATCAGAAAGGCTTCAGGGGTCTAAATCTATGTAGCCTCCCTGGGGATCCCTCCTCACTAAGCATGACATAGCTGCAAATAGAAAATGAACCCCTCGGAGAATTTGGAAAGCAGAAGCAGATGAGACCTCTTTGTATGAGGTCAAATTTTCTTCTGTACTTGAAAGAGCTCAGCTAAATTGGGACCTAACCTCAAGGTCCTCACAGAATTTTCTCCTCTGCTTTTACTATTGCTATCTGAGTAATGATCTTGATTGTTGTCTTAAGGATTTTGGGGACTTAAATCAGTTCGTGTCACGAGACAGTGAACTTGGTGGAGCTCATATCCCATCTCTGCCACTCTCTTTGTTCATCAGTTTGAAGCAGTGGAGAAGAGGCTGGGCTTTGGAAGGCACAGCTGGGGGACCCCCAGATGAATCATCCAACACACCCAAGCCTCCATTTGGTTTTCTGTTAAATGAAAATGAACCTATTGACCTCATAGTTTTGTATGAGTACTCAGTGGCAAGTTGTTTTAAAAGCACTTAGTACGTGGGCTATACATGTAGTAAACACTAAAGAAATGATAGCCTTTTATGGTTATTACCCTAATACTTCATTCCTTCCTTTACTAGTCATTTATTGAGAACAAGGAGACTGTGACATTTAAGCTGGTCCTTGAAGGCTAAGCAGGTCTTGTTCTGAGGAAATATGTTAAGGAAAAAAAGCATCATTTTAGGGGGAGATGGTGAGCACAGGAGTCTTGTAGTCTTTAGGGCAGTGGGAGGAGGAAGATGTGCAGTATTTATTTAATTTGAATTTTAATGTCTGACTTTCCAGTATTTCAGTATCATCCTCATCATTTTCCATTTGCTGGCTAGTTAAATCCTGATAACAGGTGCCCCTAAGAAGTCCCCTTTCCTTCACAAAACTTAAACTTGTGTAACTCAGGTGATCCTCCCTGGCCATGTGTACACATAGCATTTTGTAGTTCTCCTGTTTGGATATTTTTGTAGATAATAAGCAGCTGAGAGCATCTCCATTATAACTCCTTGCACTCAGTTTGCACATTAGATGTGTTAAATTTAATATAGGTTGACATTTCACGGTCACATTTTGAAATACTTGGGGCTTTTTGGTATTTCATAATAGCAATTTCAAATAAAAAGGAGATACAGTCTTGAATGGTGCCTGGGCCTTTTCATTCCTGCAGTTTTTCAAAGGTTTCATTTAAACACGTTTTAATGGGTTTAAGAGTTTACCGTCATAATGAATGCACAACCCATAATTATTATTTTTAAAAGAAAGTACATGTGTGTTCTTTAATTTATTATAAAATAATAAGGGGGAAAAGTAAAATTTTCACTTAAATTAAAATAATTTTTATTTGATCAGCTCTATCACAGGGATACCTTGTTTTCTGGTAGCAACTGTTAAATAGTTTATAGAGATCCTTCTGTAGGGGAGAAATGACTAAATCCCTGCTTTGTTTTCTGCTGCAGGCTGTGGCTGAGACTAAGGAGCCTGATGTGCACAGCACGTGTGCAAGCCAGGCAGGAGGCCTGGGAGCTAAGGGTCTGCAGCCCCTACCAGCCCTGGCAGATGTACATGTGGGTCTGAATCCTGCTGCCCAGTGGCCCCTGATTCCTGGCCCCAAGAACATGACCACAGCCCAGAATGGCCACGGGCGAGGCACTGCAATCCCCTGTTCAGTCCCGGATCCCAAAGACCCCGCCATGGTCGCTTACCCAGTGTGTCAGAATGGAGGCTGCGTTGGCGGCGAGGCAGAAGCCCAGGAAGCCAGAATCAGCCCGGCCAAGTTCATGCGCCTCTTCTCTGTGAGTCGGAAGAGAAGCAGTGCCAACGCAGAGAGACCCCGCTCCATGGTCCTGATGGGAAACTCCTCCACTTGGAATGCCCTTGCCTCTTTTCGGAAAATGGGATCATTTAAAAAACTGAAATCCTCGGTCCTGCAAGGAATTCAGAACCGAGAGGGGTCAGATGCAGCTAAAGAAGATACCTCAGACCAGGGACCGGGAAAACCCATCCCAAACGGTGCCGCCCTCGGAATCCAGACAAGCAGGGGCACCCCCGCAGGACCAGCGTGCCAGCCACTCAAGCCAGGGGCTGGGGGTGTGTCGGACTGCTCAGACCCGGAGGAGGCGGACGATGCCTTCCAAAGGAGCACCCACCGGTCCCGCAGCATCCGGCGTGCCTATGGCCTGGGCCGCATCAGCCTTCTGGATGCCGAAAAGCAGCCTGCCCGGCACCTGTCCCCAATCCTTCAGGAGCCCACCCAATGCGAGATCCTGGTGAAAGACTCTGAAAACAACAGAATCATTTATAGGAGGAGCAAGAGTACAGACAACTTAAACTTTTTGAAGAAAAGCTCCTTTAAACGAAAGTCCACCTCGAATCTCACGGACCTCAAGGTGGTGCAGGAAAAGCAAGCCCCCCAAAGGACACTGAGCAGTTCATCTGCAGACTCGGAAAAATTCGGTGGGTCAGAGAGAAGGACGAAACGCTGGAAGAGTCCGATCCGGGCCAAGGACTTTGACAGAGTCCTGAGACTGGTGAGCAGTGCAACAGACGTGGCCTGGAAGAGAGAGGGTGCCAAAGGGGGGGCGCGGTCCCCCGGGGAGGGACAGCCAAGGCCGCGGCCACACAGCAGGCTTCACGATGACTACTCTCGCAGGGTGTCCACCAATAGCGAGCCTGACCGCAGGAGGTGTCCGGGGCCCATGCACAGTGTGCAGGCAGCTGCCGGTTGCAGCTCAGCTGTAGATGTGGACACAGCTGTGTTTCCTCTTGAAACCACAGAATCATCAGAAAGTATAGGTCCTGGTGCTGGCAGTCCCCCATCCGGTCCGATAGCCCAGGAAGTGTCAAGCAAATACTCTGATGAACCAAAACCTGGCAGCCAGTTTACATTTGAAGTTGAGCAACCACTCACTCCTCTGAGGCCCACCACACCCAAGCCCCCCAGCCCGCAGAGCCCAGGCGCAGGGAATGCTAAGTGTCCCAACCATCTCAGTGCTCTGTCCCTGAGCTCAGTGGACAGTGAAGAAAGGGGCGAGGGTTCTGCTCCGAGGGATCAAGGTCCAGTGTCCTCCCAGGATTTGGTGCCATCCACATGTGACAATGGCAGTGAGGACAGCAATACTGGCAGCCATACTCAGCTGGTCCTTGGTGGGACAGCCGATCCAGAAGAAAAGAGAGAAGAGGTAAGAGCAGAGCAGGGACCTCTTGTAGCTGACCTGCTACATGGGGCGCGGGTGCCACCTTTCATCTCTCCTGAGATTGCCTAGGAGCACGGGTGTTTCCCTTAGCAAAAGCTTTTCCTTGGAGTCAGGATACCTGTGCCAGTTGTGTTGCCATCACAATTATTCTTATCAAGTTACTGTTAGCCAAGTTCAGAAGTTACCTTTATTTCTTTTGGAATGAATTGCTAATGTATGAAATTGCTTGAAATGGCATCTACTATACTATTCATTCAAAAAATAATTATGGAGCACCAACTGTATGCTAGATTGTGGTGGGAGGGAGTTGAAAAGGCCTTTTTTCTATTCCTTGCAGCAAACATGTGATCTCAAAATTTTATTTTGAAAATGGTTTTTGTTACCTATAACTTTCTTTCTATAACATTTTAAACTGTTTTCATACCCTTACTGACAGTATATATATATGTGCAATTCTTTGTATTAAATTGTTTTAAGTCCCTTTTATTTAGTAGGAATGAATTAGGAACATACAATTTGATACTTGCCAACCCCTGAGTGATGATAGTTGAAAGAAATTTTCATGATGGTTATTGTACTTATTTTTAGTGTAGAACATAAGCACCTCATGGATTGAGTCAACTAACTGTCAAAGCTATTAGAGCAATGTTCTTTTCATATCCTGTCAAGGATTCAGACAACTTTATAATTTTCACTTTATAAATGCATTCTGTAATATTACTTTATACAAGTGAAAGATGAGGCAATGCATCCATGTGCATATTTTGCAAATGATTCTTCACTTACTTGCCTTGACTATTTTACAGGTATAAATTGATGCTTGTCATAGAAAATAATCCCTTAGCAACTGTTCCTTCCCACTGGTCCCTGGAGAGAACTTCCGTTATGTCTTAATACTTGTGCATGGGTGTAGCCAGCAACTAATGCAGTCTGTGCAGCCAGGATAGCCTCTAGATTGTGTTTCTAACCTTTGTTTACAGAGAGACTTGGGAAGTAAAACCTAGCAGAGATCACTTTCAGCAGACCTGAATCAGCCTCAAGGATCCCCAAGCGGCCAAGAAGTGAGGCTGCCTCACTTTTTGTGGAGGCCTCAAGGCCAATTTATCTTTGGACGTCTTGTATATTGATGACCTTTTGCTCATTCGCTATTTCCAATGAGGCCTTATGGAACAATTGTAATGACGTAGGATTAGTTGCCAGTTTTAGAAGGATTAACTTGATTAACTGGTTGTATGAGTAGCCAAGGCCTAAACCTATTCTGGGCTTCGGTCATTTAGATGATAAGATGAAAAGGTGAAGCGTAATTCCTGCCACCAGATACCATGACCTGCCCCCTTATAGTCTGGAACATTCCCTCATCCCCATCAAAAAGGATTTGCATACATCTTTGGGGTTCTTTGTGTTAAAGGTGAGGATTTTATTTTCTGCTTAGCAAAATTAATAAAGTTATTAAAATATTTTATTCATTTTCAGTGATAATATGCAAGAATTCTTTTCCAGCCTATTACTTCCCAGAGTGTTCCTGGCCATTATCTAGCTTTACATGTATATTTGCTATATTTAGTTATGTATTAATTTCTACCCACAAGTGATTACACAGCAAATGAACACATTACACAGGTACACACAATTTGTTAATTCTGAAAATTTGTCTCATAAATTTTAAACTTTCATTCATTTCCTTAAATTTTTTATATAGCGTATCAGGGTTGCTCTTGTACTTTTAAACTAAATGTTAAAAAGAGAAAATATGATTGTTTAGCCAAAATTTTGCATTTTATTTGCACTATCAATTGGGGAGAGGTGCTTGTAAAATATAAGCTGAAACCTCTTTACTGTATGACATTATTGAATGTAAAAAGTTAGTTGTCTGCTTTTTAAATTTCTGTTAACAATTAATATTATTGAATATAAAAACTCTGGGTACATTATGCTGTTATTTATTTATTTATTTATTTATTTTATTTATACAAGCACTGGGTACAGTCAGAAGCGCGGGAGGGTGAGAGAATTCACCAGAGCCAGAGCGGGGAGCAGAGCAGGCAGAAGGACCGAAGTACACTGCTGAAGGGAGCAGCAGACGGCAGGAAAGGTCTGCGTGCCATGTGGGACCCTCCTCCCGTGGCCTGGGAGCAGCTGGGGATCGAACCGGTGCTGCAGAGGCTGCGGGCAGCTTTGCAACCCAGCGCTCAGCTGCTGCGCCACCGGGGAGGCCCTATGCTATTATTTAAAATAAGTGTTAGATTAAGAAAAAATGAGTAGGGCATTAATTTGGTCTTTCTGGGAACTTTTTAAAAATGAGTTAATATTGGTTACAACACTGTATGGTTTAGGCTATAGGTTCCCACTTCTATAGATACATGTTACTACCATGCTAAGCATTAAAGCAGCCATAACCCTCCACCATGGCACTGGGCCCTCTACCCCGTTTGCTCTGAACCCCTTCTTCCTCCTCTAGTAGTCTTGATTGTACATTCATATTTCTAGGGTTTGTTATGCTTTAGTTTTGTCTCTTTGAGGAGGTCAATCTGATAGTAGTGAATTGTAGTGAATTCACTACTAGTGAATTGCACTAGAACTTTGGTGATGGGTATGGGGTGGCATACACACAAAGTATGGAAGCTGTATTCCCAAAACTTATATAGTATTATAAACTGGTAAATCAATAAAAATGTTATTAAAAATAACCAAAAATTAATGTTAGAATGCAATTTTTAGTAAGGGATAATAGTCTTTTCTTTTGTCATTTATTTTGTAATATACCACTTTAAAAGTGATGAAATAATCTTTGAAAAACTAAACCATTTAAAAAGATTTTATATTCTTTGAAATCAATAAGCTACCTTCATTTATAACATACTTTAGAATATTGCTTCACTATGTTAAACTCCTGCCACCTAGTGGTGGTCTCTAAAATTATTACTTGGCTTTAAAATGAGGTTTTGCATTTATATTTGTCCCTGTGCCTTTATAAAGGTAGAGTGTTATTGTTGCTTTTTCTTCCAAGTCATATGATCATTTCTTTGGCTGAGTTGGGTCACTAGGAAAAAGACCTGCCCCATAAAGAATAGATTCAGCAGCTCATGACAGCATTGGAATGTACCATAGATGATGAGAATATACCATTAAATGATAAGTACACCATTAAATGGTGAAAATCCACTGTAACTCCCTTAGAGGAAGCTTTCTTTAATCTTCTGGAAGCTTCAGTCTTTTGGTGAATGTTTCTAGTTTGGTGGGGACCCTGGCCCTGCTATTTAAAACATACCTACCATTGGTCAAACTGTTGAAGTTCTTGTGGCCTGTTTTCTCAAGGTTAGACTATGGGATAACTTCATCTGCCTTGAAGTTTTATAAGAATTAGGAAATTGGGAGTGCTTAACATGCAGCCCTGTGTTTAACACTGGTTCTTACGATGTGATGTTCACTATCCGTTTGGAAGATTTTTCCATCCTCTATTTACCTGACTTTTTTAAGACATGGGACAGTTTAGACCAATGTTTCCTAAAACTGGTTTTGACATGCCACTGTGTTGATTTTAAGGAGGATTGTGGAACTTATCAATTAGCTTTGTTAATTTGAAAAAATTCACGACATTTTTTGTTTTCTATTGATGACTCCCCCACTCCCCGCCCAAGTACTCTGCCTAATGTCCACTATAGGTTTATAAATAGCAGCTTTTTAACAGAAAAAAAATGTATGGAAATTAGGGTCCAGAATAATGTCAGTAGTCTCTTTCAATAATGCACCAAATTAAATCTGTTGACCACCTATCAGGTAAGACATTCAGGTATAACTTTATAAGGAATAGTCGGATGATATCAAGGAGGTGACAGATGAGTTACAATGTGTCTAAATCATAGCAGGACTACCCAGAATGGATTAAATCCCACAGAAGAGGCAAAACCATCTTGCTGTGGGATTTCAGAGAAGTTGCAGTTCTCAACCTTGTACCAAGGTCACCTTGTCCAGACCTGACCTGAAGAAGGTGAGTTCTACAGGTAGTTAGGGAGAGAAAGGTGGGGCATTTCAGTTGCCACATGTGCAGAAACTTTATATGATTTGAGAGAACAGGAAGTAACATAGTTTGGCTTGGTGCAGGGTTATGAGTCAAGTAAAGACAAAATAATCAAATCCAGACCATGGACACTCCTGACTTCCAGAGTAAAGAATTACACATTATTTATATGAATATATACAATGTATATATATTGAAGAACCAAGGGTGTTTTTGAATAGAGAAGAGCTGAAACCAGAACTGTATTTTGGAGAAATTAATCCACCATTAATAAAGAAGATAACTGGAAAGAGGAAATACTATCAGGCTTTGTTACCAAAGAAATCTCAGAGATAATAAGGCTCTGAAATAGACTGTGTAAGAAAGCAGCAGGAATGAATGATATGTAATAAATAGTGATGTACGTTGTCATTCAGTATATTTTTATTTATCTACCTGCTATAAGCCAGTGAAGGGATAAGAGTTTTAAAAAAAAAATAGCCATCTGTATTCTCATGGGTTTATAATCTAATTGGTAGTTTGGAATATATGCAAATAATTATGATATAACATGAAAAATATGTTTATAATGAGGACTGTACAAAGTACTGTGAGAGTACCAAAGTCAAAATGATTAACTCTGAGTGAAGAGTAGCATCACTGGGGAGGGACAGTTGAGTGGGATACTGAAAATTAGGATGGGAGATGCAGAATGCAGCAGGGCCTTCCAGGCCAATTGGAAGAGCATGGGGGAGGAGGCATGTTGCTAGACCTATGGAGAGAGTTAGCCAAAGCAGGTATCTAAGTTCCCATTTTCTTCCCTTGTAAACTGGGGACAGTGAAGGTGCTTATCTACTGCATAGAGTTGTTGATGGCTAAATGAGGTGATGCATATTTGGCAGTGTGCTTTGAATATTGTCAATGTCTAAAAAATGATTAATCTGTTGTGCGCAGGGAACTGCAAATTGTTCACCAGTTTTGCATAGGG